TGGCTAGTTTTAATGCCATATTACAGCTCTCTGGTACTTCACCACAGTACAGACATTGTTCTTAGAAAGATGAGGACAGAGAGGAAGAGGAAATATTCCACTTGTAAAGGTCACTAAGTGAGCAGAATAAGGGAATTCATGGAAGACTTATTGCAATGATTAAATACTTATTATCCAGTCAGATATACTATGCAAACATTTTACTAAGGCTGAATTTTAACAACCTTGCTCAAGCTTACCTAGTCACAAGCTTTTTATTATGTACAAATATAAAATATTATTGTATCTGAAAGAAGGACTGGCAAAAGTAACCAATGTTTTTAATATTGCTATTGTTTAAACTATACTCTTCTAATTGCAATATTCTTAGCTCGAATCCCATGCTTCAGAAGAAACTTTGATGATAACTGAGTAAAGAGTAACTTGCAGCAGTTCAATTTTGGAGATGTGCAGTACTCCTGTGTATTTGCAGCTAGTAATGTAGGAGATGGCAATAGCATTATAAACCTGCTAGTGACCATTTCAACAGTTATGCTCTATGAAATGCCACTATCTATACTCTTGTTTTGATAAATCTAGGTAATGGATATCCAGAGGGTCAAAACAGTTCCAGACCCTCTGGATAGTGTGAGTGAAAAACTCTAAGCAGTACAGTCACCATTATTTTAGTCTCTTACAATCATTTAAGCAAAAACAAAACGGGATTTCTTTCTTCAGAGAAGTCTCCCTTTTGTAATCACATTTGCTTCCATTCAAGAAACCATAATTTTTATGTTTTAAAGGCAGAGACAATAATTTCTACCGCTTCTGACACAACCTATTTGGAATTCAGAACAATGAGGAAGGCAATTAACTGACATTTTTCTACATAATAATATAAGTTAGGGCTCTAAGGCTTTGTCTACACTAGGGAAATTTAGATGAGTTTCTCAGTGTTGCTGACACTGGCTTGGCCAAGGCACTGTTACGAGTGTGGAAGGTCTAATGCAGACAAATTCACAGCCTCAAAAATTGCTGTCAGCAATTAAGGCTTTCATGGAACAGACTTGAAATAGCATTCACAGGTATGAATATTTCTTTGCAAATAATCCAAAAACTCATGGATAAGACTCATTACCTCTTTGAAGAAAATTTATAGTGTGCCTATTGTTTAACCAGATATAGCCCAGCATGATGTCACCATCCTTCCTTAACTCTTTTACTTTGTTAAAGGCTTCATTTCTTCAAAAGATATTTTAACTTTGAATAATCTACTCCTGAAATATTTCTTAAAATTAAGAATTATTTGAAATGTTCTTTTTGAATAAAATAAGGAAGTTGAAAGCTTGAGTTATTTTCTGAGAATGTAATTTTTCATCAGCATTACTGTAGAATAAACCCTAAAAGATGCTTCATAATATGACTTTCTTACAACACAAATCTGATTCTTTGGTGCCTATCATCAAATTTGCTCAATATTTAAAAGCTACTCCTCCACCGGAACGGTGCTTTTAAACTGAACTTTTTCTACTTAAAAGATAAATCATTAAAACACTGCTGGAAGGAATATGGTTACAAATGAGAATACTGGCAGAAATCCAATGTTATTGGGAAGGTAGGATTTTTGTGCTAGTCCCACTACCAGTGGTGATTAATTAAGAAACATCAGATACCCGAAGCCCGAACAGTTAGTTCGATATGATTCCCATTGCAGGAACAACCTGCCTTTGCTAGACAAGGTATTTTTGCAAGCAAAACAAAAAAGGAAAATCACGATAGGAAAGCTCAAAGACACAAAGATATAAATGTAAATAAAAGATATAAATGTTCATGTTTATTTACAGTGCCAGCTTTTAGTCTGGTGGTTTGCATATCAGGATTTCTGTCTCCACAGTATACTTAATCAAGAAATCCACATAAATTAGATGATAGAAGGGCAGAGATTTGAGGCTAAACCCCCTGTGACTATGGAGAGGTAATGGAAGAGCAAATGAATGCAGAGATTTGAAAAGATGGCAATGGAAAAGATGGAGGAATGATGAAAATGCCAAGTGGTGAGAGAAAAAAAAAACAACCTCCAACACTTGTTTATCTGTTGGTGTTACAGATTTTGTTTGCAGCAGACGTTTCAACTTCCCTGCAAACAGTATAGAATTTAGCAATTGTGAATGAAGGACATTGTCCCATAAGTATTAAAGATTTCAAATTATTTGCAATTTTTAGATTTGTCTGAAGCAGTTTGAATACTAAATTACACAAGTGGTTACACCCTCAACAAGGTCCAGTTCCTATGATATGCACGTGGAGAGATAAATCTTTCCTGTCAGTCACATATCCCACTGACACCTGCTGTCCAGATGTTGGATGAGCATCACATTGCATACTAAATAACTACTGTATTTCCAATTAATATATTTTCACACACAACACAAAATTGGATTTTGAGATCTTTCTATGTAACTGACAAATTCAGGATTAATAAGACATCATCTTCAGTGAAGCAAGCCTATACAGATTACACTGAAGTCAACCTAGAATCAAGAAAAACAACCCCAAAATACCCTCCTTACAGACTGTGCGCTAAGAAAAAGATAATAGGTGCCATATTTTCTCTCTAAAATAATCATTTACCATCAATTTTCTCTAAAATAATCTGTGATGCTCTATAAAACCACTATGTAGTTCTACTTTATAATAAACCAATAATATGAACTGCAAGGAGCAATCTAGGAATTGAGACATCCCATCTGCCTCACTTCTCCAACTATATGCAAAACTAAAACACATCAGCAGTGTTTTAGTGGTTTTTTGGCTCTTGGGTCAGAGAATCTTTGTTTCCAGCAATCAGCCTCTGAACATAGACAGTTGAGCTACCCAAAGATTCAAAATTCAAGTAACAAGAACCAAAGATCGCAGTTGATGGGAATTCATACTGCTTTATATACCTACCCCTAAATAAAGTCTCTCCATGTTCAGGTGTTTAAATAAATTAAAAACAAAATGAAAACAACTCAAAATAGAACTCTGCAGTCTATGAAGTGAGCCACTAAAAATTGTTCTTTAGTCAGAACCAAACCTAGATCACATGAAACAGACATTTTTTACTTATTTTGTTATGTGCTGCTTTGTCAATTATGTATTAATTTAATTAATATGATCTTAGCTTCTTTCTGCAAATCTTTGGAAGTGACCTGAACAGGCACTAAACATGTATATGGTTTTTAAGCATCAGGCAAAAGGATAACTTCAGTTGTACGTAACATGTTCTTGAGTTCAAGGAAATAAGTTCAATACAGCACCCTGGTAAAGAGTTCACAGCTGCACATTTAATCTACTTGTGTAGATAATCCTGTTCCTGGAAAAAGAATACAATTGCTATTCCACTTCAACAGACTATTTTACCTTGATTCAAATTTTCACTCATGGAGGCAAACTAGAAAATGCTTTAATTTGAGTTAGCAAAATGAATTTTGGATTAAAGTTATTCAGAGTAACTTGTAGCCCCAAAAAGATGAGTTTAAATTGCAAACATGATTTCCTAAGCATTCAGTGCTTATTAATCAGATTTTCTAAAAACAAGTTCTTCCTCAAAGTAGTTCCAATATGAAATATATAAACAGATAAACTGTTGTCTCACACAAAGAGAGAAACTCCTCTAAGGCCTTGCTGGGAGTAATTAAATTGTTTACCTTAACTATTTTCAACTATGTCCTCTCCTTTAAAGAATACTAGCCACAGCTGTCTTTTGGTTTGCATGAGGATTTCAGAGAGTAAGGTCTTCATAAAACTCTTCAGCACACATGCACTGAAGTCCCACAGGACTAGCACGTGCTCTGTCTCCCCAAGCCTTGTCTTTGACAGGGAGAAAGGATGACACGAGAGTTCACCCACTCTCTGTTTTGCTTGTCCTTCTTAGCATCCTGTGTATATGTTTTGGGAGCATCCCAAACTGACAGAGCTTGAAGACTTCCAGTCTGAGGCCAAGACCCTGCTCTCCCTGCCCTGAAACTGGGAAATGGCACTTGAGAGAAAAATGCAATGGCCTTTTAGTTAAGGTGCTGGGTGGACTCAGGAAAACTGTACTTAATTCCTGGCTTTGCAATGGATTTTCTTCACAAACCCAGGCAAGTACCTGTGCCTTGATACAAAACCTCCTGCCCCACCCAGAAGTGTTTCCAGACAGTACCTTAATATTTGACAGATGCCAGGACTGTGCTTTCATGGGTACACAGTGTGGGAAGCAGGACAGAGCTCAGGATGATGTTTGGGAGTACAACTATTTATCAGGCCATGAGGCACAGTTCCTATCTTCTTGCACATCATCTTTTATACCTTGTGCAATCACTTAATGCATTTAGTATTTCTGTTACCTGTATTACACATCTATTTGCACAAAATTCATGGCTGACATTATAGAAGATAAAGCTATCACAGTCTTACTGATTGAGCAGAGACATCTACATATGTGTTCAATTACTATTATGCCATGCAGGTTGAGGAATGGACATATAAAAGTAAGTAGAAATGGAAGAAACACAGAAAAAGAAAAGGGAGACAAGATAACTCAGCCAAATCTGCAGCCCTGCAGATTTCTAAATATCCTATAACCTTTAAACTTTCTGTGACAGAACAGAAACTGGGTATCACTTCAATGAACCTACATGGTATCATGTCAAAACATATCACACAGGTGTTAGTATGCAGGTGCAGGAAGAAAAATACACCTTCATTTAGACATGGAAACATAAAACTTCAGGTAGCATACAGAAAAGCACATTAAGCAATGATTAATAAGCATTTGTCTAATGAAGGTGCTTCTAGTGGTAGAATGAGGCTGTCATGCCTAATTAGCAAATATTAATCTACTTTAATTAATCAACCTTAAGAAAAATGATTATATAAAACAATGGCATAGAAAAATTAAAGCAAATATTACCCACAGACTGCACAAAAGATTTTTTTGGTAATCATATGCTGCTGACAATTCATCAGATATAACTAGGTAGAGCAAAAGAACTGACCTCCCGAGGACAGATGATTCTCTTGGGACGTGGTGCCTCTTGTTGCAATTGATACACTGTCAAACACAAAAATGTACAGATCATTAGGAGATGGGAACATACACAAACTTTTATTCAGATGAGTCTTTTTAGCCAGGGGCTGCAGAGAAAAATGCAAATGTAAAGAATATGAAATCAAAATGAGGCATTTCAGTGTGTCTAAGTCATTTATATGAAAATTGGTTGTTGACCTGCAAACTAACTAAAGTGATCAGTGCTTTAACTTTTAGAAGTATTATCTTCTTTTGTATTGTTTTTTACATTTTTATACTAGGGAAGACTAGCCAGAAATAGATACCAATTATTAGGTATATCTCAGGATGAAATCCCACTTTTGCATATACTGTGTTGTAACAACCCAAGAACAGATTGCTTACCAGTAGCACCAGTAGTTTTTTGGATAGGCCAAGAAAAAGTTCAGTACCTTTGAAAGGGCTCACCACAACCTCATAATATATTTCAAGATTTGCTGGCAATTACTGAAGAGCAAGCAAACATTCCTTTCGGAGCCATTATGTCCTATTCAAATGGGCCTGGATCAATTCTGCAAATCTTCTGAGGGCTAAAGGAGAGAGACCTGAGGCTAGAGGTAGTTGCTGCCTGGCCCCAGCCTCTTCACTTGCATGTATTTAATGAGATCCTCTCCCTGCCTTCCACTCCAGAGTTGTGAGAAGAAGCTGACATGCAATGACAGTAATCAATTCCAGCACAGACAGACTGTCTCTCCGTAACTCCAGTAAAAATCCCAGAGGTTTGGATTCCCTCCCTTGAGAAAGGCCTTCTGTATGCTGACCTTCTTGTATTTGGAAAGATTGTGTCGTGTCTATGAATTTTTTTTAAAGACTGAGTTTCTAGGATGTTTTTCTTCATAATCTTCGTGAAGCTCAGAGTTATGCCCTGAAAGGTGGCAGATTATGGAAGGAAGAGAAATGCCTGTGGGTTTGATAAACACAGAAGCCCTGTTGCAAAAAGTGACTGGAAATGGTAGTTGTTAACCCTTAGCACGTATTCACACCTTGCGCACCTTCTCTTTAAATGGACCTAGAAGTGATGAAATCTGGAAAGTGGGGAAGTCCTTTAGCCTGCACCCAAGTTTGTCACACAGGGGATGGGAAAGCTTTGAGGGCTTCTGCCTTCTGCTCATGTCAAAGTGCAAAACCCCATAACTTCCTCTTTTCCCAACCCAAGCTTCATCCCTGGTTCCTTAGAGGGGCACAGAGAGTTCATGATTTCTTACATTCCCTATCAATTTTAATGCATACGGATGTGCTCTAGCTCTGAATTTGTACTCAGGCTTTGGATACACCCTGCATCATTCAGCACTGTCAGATCTTCCATTATTTTTGCACAGGATAACTTCTGGTCTTTCTTACCTCTTGCAGTTATGTGACTAAGGTTTAAGGACTTACTTCTACTCTATTGTGACCAAATGATTTGTGTATCCAAATGAACTGTCAAAGAAAGTATGAAAATTTTGTCCAAAAATCACAGATAATGTTTTAAAACTCTAATTATTCTGTGACCCAATTTTAGAGTTAATTTCTGAATGTCTGAAATCAGCACAACCACAGATTCAGCAAGTTAGTGATGCTTAATACTAAAGGTATTAAAAAAATAGTAACTTTTTCCTACCCACTTACATTTTTAATGGAGAGAAGGAACTCTAAGGATTCAAAACATTGCAAGAATATGATTACTTCTCATTTAAAGTAAATTATCTATTTCCCCAATTAATTCATTTGAATTTTAACTGAAAACTAATACTTCATAAAGATCCTATTTTCAATAATCGAATCTGTTAAACATTAACTGACACAGCATATTAAGCTAATGACTGTTTCTAAAAAAATTTGTTAGCAGTAGTGCAAAACAAGTTGGTCTGAAGATCATATAGGAAGCCCATCTTGTGATGTGCTGCATTTATAAAAAATGAAAAAAGCAAAGAGGTCTCTAACATATCCAAAGGATCTCTGAGGCAGATAACTCTGGAGAAGCAATGGTGAGGAAAAGAGTCAGCATTTCACAAAACAAAGGAAGGAATGATTAACAGGAAAGACCAGGTACATGAAAGACTTGAAAGCAAACACAAAAAAATGGATGCTGATTGGATGTAGTGAGATGAATCAGTGCAGGGATTCATGATGAATGCAAGGAAGACAAATCATCTTAACAACTGTATTTTGAATAGATTGGAAAAGGTTGCCGTCATTCTCAGAGAGACATGGGTAATTAATCTGCACAATAATATGAACTGAGAAATATATCTGATTTAGAAATGCATCAGAAGAAAATGTGGTCAGATTATTACTATACAAATAAATAATAATAAATTATATGCTAAATGTGAAGGATGAGAAAATGGCCCAAGCACGATTGAGATTGTGAATGGTGGTAATCACACAAAATGTCACGAATTTCCTGTGAAAGAATTCAGATTTGGCCATATTAGCTTTAAATTGATAGATATTAAACCGACAGAAAGTCAAACCACTGGAACAAGAGGAGAGAGATAGAACCATTAGATGGAGGGAGAGAAGACAGATCGGAAAAGAGAAAGAACTGAGAACCACCAGTGGCATCGTGGTAAGGGACAAGCAGTTCAATGGGAGACAAAAACAGAGAATAGACGGACAGACACACAGCTGCCAAGGATGCCCCGAGGAGACACACAGCAAGGTAAGGGTGAAGAAGGTAAAAAACAATAGAAGTTCAGTTAAGTTGAAAAAAAGAAAAGGCAGTATCTCACAGACTAAAGTATTAGGGAGCAAAGCCGCTGTGACCCTACCCAAAGCTGTGTTCTCTTTTAGAAAGGGTCTCTCCTGTTTCTGCTTCAAATGATTGCTATGTGAAAGCCTCCTAATGGGCTTTGGATACAAGTGCAATATTATGGCTAAGGTGACTTGAGAAAAATGTGCCCTACAGCTAAGTTCCAATGAGCACAGGCACCTCATTAAGTGACCTCATTTTCAGAAGTGCTGAACATCCTGCAGCTCTGCCTGATTTCATTATACACTTTTTCCGAATGCTGGGCAGTCACACTGAGGCTGACATTGCTGAGATCCCAGCCCAGTCCAGGGAATGGTCAGGCTCCGAAGGCACATGCCCACCTACTTGCTCAAATGACAAACAAGCCTTGCCTTTCTGCCTCATTTTCCCACCTCTACCTCTGAAAATCTTAGAAACCAATGTATAAGAATGGTTAACTGAACTAATAGAAAAACACACTTATTTGATACAATGGTAAGCAGTGATTGACATCTGACCCAGTCTATTTCTAGCATTTAGAACTGACAGGCAGGTTACAGACAAACCCACTGTGATAATAAAAAAGATGACACTTGAACATAATGATACATTATTATCTTAGCCCTGAGAAAATGAATCTTATAAAAAATCAATTTAATGCAAAAAGAAAATGTATTATTACTGCTCAGAGAAGAGCATCAGACTGGGAGTGGCTTTTTGTTCAGCATCATATGCAAATGAAATGTACAGTAATGATACACACTAAATATTAGACAAAAATGCAGCACTGCAACAGAAAAACACAGTAGCTTTTAACTGGCTCTTGGACATCTTTATCAGTTTCATACTTTGGAGAGTTTGCCTGCAGTCATAGTATCATAATCACGTCCGAACTTACAGTGTTAACAAAACTCTAATTTATTATTGAATTTCTACAGGAACATTTCTTTGAGATGTAAAGTAGCTGGTTAGAATATATCCCTCTCTCTTTTGTTCCCGCTACAGCACGAGTTGTCTCAGGGGATGAATAAGGGAAATTCTATAATATGTTTTAGGAAGAACTGTCTAATTCCAAAATCCAATCTGTCTAAGAAACAAAGGGATGACACGCAAAAAATAACACATACTCCTCTTCTGCCAGGAAAGAAGGACTATCAGCAATTTCTTTATATTTTTTTTTTTTTTCATTCTGCAGCATGTCAGGACCTCAAGCTTTCTCCTTTAACTCACCTATGATGAGTGTTCAGAGATGCTCCAGCGGAGAGGAAAAATTCCTATCATCGTTTTTATAAAGCAGCAAGGAAACATACTGCCTTCTTCTGAGAATGTTTCGCAGAGTTCCTTAGTTTTACCTCCTTGGCCTCATCTCAGTCAGGCATTTATCCATGTGCCGAGCTTGAACAATATGAGCTGTCCTATTTCTGCAGGATTACTCACATGCTTAATTAGGAACCTAAGTGCTTGGCTGAAACAAAGACTTAATTTCTAACAAAAATGAGTCTCGGACACTGTGCTTATTATTTGATGAAGGGCAGAAGGCACAGAAACTTTGTGAGGAGCTGAAGCATGGCATCAGCTGATGCTCTGTGCTGTGCCACACTGCTTCACACCAGCACACTGATCTTAAATAATGCAAATAGACATTGAAGTGGCATTGACACAAGACTGACTTAGCACATGCCAATCTCAACAGTGGTAAAAGAAGAAAAAGAGTGGGTTTATATCTCTTCAAAATTCAAGCACATACGTGCTGCAGCTGCAAACCAACGACTACCCTGTTTCAACAGTCAAACAAATTGCCTACTCATCCCCTGAAGCAGGTAAGGTCACTGTCTCTGCTCTAAGAGGACAGTGCAGCACTGGAGCAGGTTACCCACAAAGGTGGCAGAGGCTCAATCCTTGAAGGTTTTCAGGACTGTTACATAAAGTCATGACTGTTCTGCTCTAGACCTGACAACAGTCGTGCTTTGAGCAGGAAGCTGGATTAACTCATCCCAGAAGCCCTTCCAACCCACATTCTGTGATTCTTATCTTCCTTTCTTTACTGCCTCAATGATGGCAAAAAGGCAAAATGCTGTTTTGTATAATATGCCTAGCACACAGCAGACTTCACAAAGCAATCAGTTATCTGATATTTATTTGTTGATTTGCTACTCAGGTATAAATGCAATCAAACCCACTGCCTAGACCCTGCTGGCTGCTAGAAACATTCCAGATTTTTTTTCCCAAGTCCCTCCCTGTTATTACAAAATTATCCTTGCCATTTGTTTTATTCTTTGTGTCCCAGGGCTACCAGAAAAAGTTTGAAAAGCTTTGTAACCTGTGAAATCTATGTAAAATTCTAACAATTCTTCATAAGCAAGTGGGGATCTTCTGATTAGAAGGGTTCATCTTTTCCAAATACAGCTAAAACAAACTTGTGCATTATGTCAACAGAGTAAGGCTTCAGTTCTGAAAACTATTCCATTTTGATCAGCATTTGTCCACAGACACGTGCAATACTGTTTATTTGAAAACTTTTCATAAACAGGAAAATCTGCCTTTGTTGAGAATCTAGAAGGACTGAAACCTTGATCATGATGTCAGTAAAAGGCAACATAGTGCACTTAAATTTATGCAGGACTTAACAGAAATCAAAACTGCATGCAAAGTATCTTACTATATGTTAGCAAACTTTAAAAGGTACTAGCTAAAACAGACCAAAAACAATTGTTAAATAGGTAGTAAACACAAAGTACTAAGCATGAAATACATACACTGAGTTAAAATTGTGATGAGATAGGACAATAGATTGAATCACAGACTAACACCATTGCTAGACATAACCTCTATAATTAATTTACCAGATTAGAATTTTTCTAGCTGAGTAAAGAAGCATACATTACCTAACATTGCAAAGAAAAATGTGTATCTGTGGCTAAGCAGTCTCAGCAGTAAATTTTTGTAACCTTAAAATATTTTCTGCATTTTGGAGCTGTGTAACTTTTTCCAGGGTCATTCATGCATGGAGTTCAGATGCTGAGGCCATGACTTTGTCATTACCACAACATTACCACATCCTTCATATAGCAGAAGAGGAAATACACTCATAGACTATGAATTAATTCTTTTTTTCTTTTCTCTTTTTTTTTCTTTTAATTTAAAAAAAATGTTTTCTTGGACTTATATGTAAGCTATCAGGTAAAAGTAACCAAACTTTTTCATTGCATGCAGTGATCTGTCTGCTGCATCAGTAGGGCAACTGAGAGCAGGTAAGTAAAGGTATACGCTTGTTTCCTGACTTTTTAACGGAAACTTCCTGCTAACAAGGAAACATCTGTCATTTCAAATACTGGTCCTGTAAGAGTCAATGGGAGCTTTTTCACTGATTTTGAGTAAGTCAGGTTCCTCTTTCCAAAAAAAACCAAAACAACACTCAGCTGTCTGCTTCTTTCTAAGTACTCAGCAAAGGATGCATGAATGGCCTAACTCAGATACTGTGACTGTTTAGGAGGTTTCTCTTATCCATTCAAAACGTTACAACAACAACAACTACAAAGTCTGGAGAAAACAGTGTTCTAAAAAGTAATTTTTGTAATTTAATGGCATATTCAAATTTTGGTTGAAAAAATCCGAGTCCATTTTGGGGCAGAATGTCATCCTCAGGTAACACAGAGGTGATGTCTTTGAAGTCAGCAAGGTAGTTTAATGTTCATATAAGTGAAGTTAGCAAGTTTATTCCAGTCTTTAAAATTGTACATGTACCTGCATGTAACTACTGTTATTCCTGTCTTTTTGTAGTTCCATTTTGGTAATGGCACTGTACTGAATTTGAAGTTGCCACAATAAAAGAGACACTTAGGATAGTTCTGTATCTGAAAACAAAAAAATAAAATGAGCCTCTACACCCAAAGCAACACTTTTATTAAAGTTCCAGTAAGGGTTTAAAATGCAAAGATCAAATTTAAAGGCCATCTTTAACAAGGGATTTAAAAGCCAATATTTTGTCTTAGATCTGTGCCACTCTATTAGAAAATACATTTGGAACAAAGCAAAAGAGCATAAAATATGCACTTCTGCACTACACTCTATGTAAATGATTTTTCTAAAGGCAGACAGGAAGGTTCAAAGAACTGATAGTGCTGTCTCCAACTTCTAAACCACCACTTCAAAAATCAGTTTCTATTGCTAAGGATCAAAAAATATTATTATCTCATAGTGATTTGGCGACCCATATAAAAAGACAAGTATACTCAAGCCTGACCTTTAGTAAACACATGGAGCATTAACCTTTACCTCTGAAATCTTTTCTGAAAATCTCAGCAGAGAAACCATGAAACCCAGGATTTGCACACTTGTAAGGAACCCAGGGAGTCTGGCACACATTATCCTGCTGCCCTTGCTTCACGGAAATCCAAGAAAGTTCAGGTTTTGCTGCTGTCCCATACATTAATTCCTGCAAGCACCTAGTACATTTATGTCTTTCTTCTAAACAAAGGCAGGGAAAAGACCTAACAGTGACTGACACCTCGATAAGGTACTAAGATTACTCAAATGTCTTGTATACTTACAGTATGATTTCCATATTGGAGGCTGGTATTCTTCAGCATCTAAAATAGAAACAAAAAGGAGGAAAAAAAATCAGTCAATTGGCCACTGAGTCAAACTGTCAGCATGTATTTTTCTGCTGAGAGACCTCTACTTGTCAGCAAAATTCACATTTCTTTCCCCAGAGAGATGCTGGCCTATTTACAGTACAGTTTCCTATGTGAGAGAAGAATATAAATTTCAACCACTTGTGAATCCAGTGTGCTTTTCCAACTTATTCAAATGTAACAGAAATTAATTTTTCACTAATTTGCATATAGTTTCCTGACTCACCAGTATTTTTAAAATAGTTTACTAGACTGGTAACTAATTTGTTTACTTTATTTGGCATGATAAACAGACAAATTGCTACTGGTTTTCAATCAGGCTTCTAACCCCACAAGTCAGACTGGAGAATGAGCATCAATGAATAACACACGTCCGGGCTAAAAAGACACCCAGCTCAGGCTGCACTATGGTGCACAGATCTGATGGTTTCAATGAAATTCAATTACACTTCTTGAACACACTAGAATATGCAATTGCCACGTTTTCCAGAAACAAGAAACGGCATCAACAACAACAACAACAACAACAACAACAACAACAAAAAAAGAGAAAAATGTAGAAAAAGTAAAAACAGCAAACCCTGCAATTACAAGCAGACAATTATTGTCATTTTTGACTGAAGGGGCATGAAGAGTTGTTATCTTCTGTTAATGCCCATTCCACAAGCAAGTTACAGCTGGATTGTATGGTCCCACTCCACAGAGGGGTTTCCAGACCTCTGCAAGAAAGCCATTTGCTGCATCTTCCAAAAATCCCAACAGAGGCCAAGCTTGAGTGGTAGGAGTTAAGTTACCATACACCAGCACAGAGGGTGGGGCACCAGGTACTAGTTTGGCTCTGAATTGTCATGTAGCCAAACACTTTGAAGAGTCATTTACCGAGGGTATGTCATTAACCTCCCAATACTGTGCAAGATAATTAAGGTGTTTTTTATTTACTAAACTTCTCCTTAAGTTATGCTAATACAATTCAATTATAGTTGCATAGCTCATGCTCCTTGTCTATTTACATACACACAACCACTTTAAATATAACCCTGCAAAAAGTTTGTTTACTAGGAATGTTAATCATTAACTACCATCTGCCATTTTAAACTCTATTGTTTTAATAGCGGATAAATCTAGCAATGATCACAGTTACTCCCTGGGATAATACCCGGCAACAATTTGTAGATACATCGACTGGAAAATCCATTCAGTCTCAGTTTCAACTGTATCCACCTCACAACTTTGGCAAAATTCAAAATGCTCCCAGACTGACAGAGTTATACCCTGCTGTGGCAATCCAAGAGTAATTAGCTTGCAAGTTCATTATGCAGAAGACATATTTTAAATTATATGAAGCTATTCATGAGACCAGTGAAATATATTCATACAAGAGGTGAGTAATTTTTTCTCTTCTTACATTATAATAGTAATTTATCACTCTTTTTTTTTCCCATACATCTGTTGCTTCACATATAGTTTACCATAACACCATAAAATTGTGTCTTAAATTCCTCTGTCATACTTCTGCACTACTGCAAGAGAATTTCGGAATTTTCTTCTTCGCTTACTATATTTTCCCAGTAGAAAAAACAGAGATAATGCAAATATTATCTATACTTGTGACTTCAGATACAGAAATAATAGAGGGAGAAACAATGAAAAATCAGTGAGTATCAGTTGTTGCTTTAGTTTTCCAAATTAATTAGAAAGTGCACAGTAAATTCAACAGTGAAAGGTGATCTACAAGTGGCTGTAAAGTGCTTCATTAGCTTGAGACAGACTGATGGTGAGGAAACACTGCAGCCTAGGTGGAGAGCAATCATCCAGGAGATAAGTCATAAAACAAAACTCACAATGATTACATTTGATTTGTCATGGTTATGAATCTGTCAGCTCAGGAAAGAACCATTCCTCAATAGGTAAAATAATTCTTAAGGATAGTACACTCAGAGAAAAACCACAAGTCACTGGCTCCACATTCACCCTTACAAGGTACTGCAACACCCCCTGCGATCCCTTTAGCTGAAAGCATGTCCCTAAATCACAGGGAACAAAATGCCATCGAGGTGATAGTATTAATAGAGTTTATTGTCAAGCTATCGTGCATTTGATGTCATCCATTTGCAGGGAAATAAAAACCAATTAGTTTAAATACATCCTGGAGACAAGGGCCATGGTTGAAGATCAGGGAGAGGTTTAATGGAACTCAGGAAGAAACCTTTTGCTCCCTTTGTGGAAGGAGGTTGCTGGGCCTGTTTAGACGCTCTCATCCTTGCATGATAAAGGCTTAGCACTCTCATCCTAGTTGACTAGATTAGACTGAACTTCAACCTTCCTTAAGTCAGGGGTCAAATGAGGCAACTCCTGCCTGAGCAGATTTGATTACTACTATTTGCCCTTTTTGAAAATTCTGTTGTGCTATTTTTTATTAGTCCCTATTACACAGAAGCTCTACTTGTTAAATCGTGCTCCACTCTCCATCATTAGACTTAATACAGCAGTTCTGGTTCACAGAATTCCTACAAGCATAGGATATAGGCAAATGGAGGATAGGAGTGTGATGTCAAATGGTATAGAATAAGGGGTGGAGATTGTAATGTGTTTGTTACCCTCCCTGAGAGGGAAACGGAACTAGGATAGATCATCTGATGTATGTTCTACCAATAAGATATTCCATTCCATGTTATGGCACTTTAGATATAACACTAGATGAGGAAGACCTGAGCCAAGCTGGTATATGGGGGGGAGGGAGGGAAGGAAGGGAGAGCTGAGAAAGAAGAAGGGGTGGAGGGGGAAGGTGTTGTGTTTTAAGACTGTTTTAGTTCTCAGTTTTTAGCCTTTATTCTGTTAGTAGTTAATTTAAGTCTTATTCTGTTAGTAATAAATCTAAGTTTTATCCTCACTCTGAGTTTGTTTTGCCTATTAATAACTGCCTTTCTCTCAATCCTTATCTCTACTCATCAAAAAAATTCCTTTGTGGTTTTTTTTCCCCTCTCTCCTCTGTCCAGCTGCAGGGGGGAGGATAGAGGTTGGTGGAGTGGTTTTAATAGCCCCCAGGCATCTGGCCAGGGTTAAACCACCACAGATTTTTGGTGCCAAAACCCAGGACGGGGACTGCCGAAAGAGGCAGCAGCCAAATCAAACCCACTACGTTGCCAGTACTAGTTTGGGTGGTCAGTTCAGCTACTACACGACACCTCAACTCACACAGCTTCTGCTTTCTGTTCTGCACATGGTAATGGTCTTAGCAAGGACAACACACCTCCGTTTTAAGCCACTTAGCAAAAATCAATCAATCAATCAATCAATCAATCAGATTTGGCACAAATGACAAATGCCCTGCACTGATCTCTCATTAAATGATATTGCTAATATAAACTTTGATCATAATGCCTATCAGAATTGGGACTAGCAGCACTGGAAAAAGGGTTCACAGAGGTACTCTCAGATGATAAAACAGGGTCTCTCCTATTGCTGTTTTCCTGAGAGGTTCATATTTTCAGTAGTGACTTTTTGTCTAGATTCAGAAACTGTGCCAGATAAGGTTGAAAGCAGTTGTCACAGGAGAAACTCAGATCACAAGATGAGAACCAGTTCTGAAAAACTCAACAAAATGTCCCAGGCTCAGCTATGACACACCTTTCTGAGTCTCACTGTAAAAGAGAGACTTACTGTAAAAGAATTACATAATGTCCAGTTAAGGTATTTTTAAAATTAGTTTGAGTCTTATCAAAACTGTATCATAAATGACCTTGGCAAAACCAGAAAACCTGAGTACTCACTGGAAAGACTAGAACTGGAAATAAATCACGAGAGACTTCCTCAAATAATAGTACAGGTAATACTGTTAACTAAAAACTTTGAAACAGACCAGTTGAGAAAGTTAATATTTATTAGACCTAAAAAAGTACTATATGTTAGTTGTGTGCTAAACAGAAAGGCAAAAGGAATGCTGAATGCTGACTGTTGAGGAGTACTACAGCTACCAGAAGGTTTCTCATAATGCATAATTGATATGAAAAGATACTGGAGAAAATTCTCAAACCAAAAATGATACTGTGGAATTGGAAAGTGGGAATAAGGAAAACCAGGCTAGTTCTTCACTTTCATTCGCTTTACTCTTCACAGAGTAGAGAGGATGAAAAGGATCTTAGGAATAAAATACTTTCATAAGGCTGATGGAGCACTTGAACCTGAGTAAGTGCAGAAAGACTGCAGTAAATGGAGTACTGAAAAGTTGGCAAAGCTTTAAGCAGACAGATAAAAAGTAAAACTACGTAAGATTTTTTTTCAAAGAAACATGAAGACAGAATACAGTATTACTACCAATAATGGGCAGTAAAGGGTTAATACATTACTCAGAGCCATTCTTAAGCAATTTCTGGGAAATGGGCTTACAGTAATTACATAGTAAGTAAAGCTATCCATGGACTTCAGCCCTTGCTCTTCACTGAGCTTGGCTCTGTACCAAAGTGACACCTTTCTGGATGTAGTTGAGAAAGACACTGGAATGACCGAATTGCTTTTTACTACTTCCTTGTACTTTCTGAAGATGATGATGTAATACCAACATGCGTGCTTTTGTGCTACCAGCACTGGGACTGACTTAGCTAAAGCAGGTCCAATAAGAAACTGACTCAAGTTCAAACTGATTCTTCTGACTCCCAACACTGGTAATTGCACTAGAGAGAGGAAACTGTTTTACAGGAAAGACCATAAATTATGTCACCAAAGCAAATAGTTCTGAATGGCATTTCTAATCATAAAGAGAGCAGTAACAAATATCCACACTATAGCTATATGCCATGCCCAGTTCTAGATATGCTAAAAAGTACGAATGAATCCTATGACAGTAAAGAGTTATGCAGATGAGTAGCAGGACAGTTACCAAAAGGGAACTGTCATCATTTGCTAATTTCTTTACAGTCTTTATACTCACTATGAGAAAGGAGTAAAGATTTTCTTTT